ATGAATGGTGGTGATTTATTAGGAGAAGAAGGAAGAGAAGCTCTTAAAGCTTGTGTAAAGGTACAGATACGTGGACGACGAGAAACGCGTCGGTATGAATGGAACCAAGCGAATGAGCGGTTGCAGTCCTGTTTTCACGGTAACAATGCACGTACAAGATATTCCTCTGCAGTGTATCCCAGCCCACCTTGGCCAACTATTAAACCAAGATGGGTGGAAAAAGAGAGAGTGCCATTCTTTTGTAAACAGGACACTGTCAACATCATTGATATTCACAATGCTCTCGTCTCCGCCGATGAGAAACGTCTTGTTGAAGTATATCCAAATGAGGGACACAGTTCTGGTGAACTAAGATGCCTCATTGATCAGCGTAGAGCGGCTATTACAAGAGAGGTCGATGAAGCAAAGGCCAACCCAGAGGGGCGAAGGAGGTATTCGTTTCATGTTGCTCAGCGAAGAGTGAGAGATTGCTATGCTGGCCTCTTTAAAACAGATTATCCAATGCTCATGGACAAGACACGACAACCGTTTTTTTCTAATGACGGGCCATATGAGATAGATGAAATATATGAAGCATTTTTGCTCTATGACAGTTTGAGTTTTGCTGATAAATACCGTTATCCAAAGGACAATTGCAGTTCTTCGAGTGAGATTGATGCAAATAGAGCTGGTGTTGAAAGGCAGTACAATGAGGCTATTTCCACAGGGGGGATGGATGTCGATCTTAGTAAGTATTCTTACATGGAGGCAAAGAGCCGAGTGCAAGCTTGTTATCATTTCCCTATTCATGATGATCACTTTTATGGTGCATTTTTGCATCCTGTTCAGAGGCATGCAAGCGAACCTCAGCAGTTCACAATACTTGATATTCATCAAGTTCTGTGTCATTTTGATAACATGCTGCTCCTCCGGAAGTATCCACAGAATGGCCCTGGATCTGATGATTTGAGAAAATCAATTGACATGCACAGAGCTGATTTGGCAAAAGAGTACGAGGAAAGCAAGTTAAGGCCGCATGTAAAACGTAAATATTCAAGGTATGAGGCAGAGCGCCGAGTGAGGGATTGCTTTACATGGGCCTTTGTGGAGGATACAGATGTATTCCCAAACAAGAAAGACGAATCTGGGACACCAAAGATCTACCAGACGTATGACATTTTTGACATTCAAAATGCAATAGACCATTTTGATTCAAAACGGTTTTACAGGAAGTATCCACTGGGTGAAGGACTTTCTAAAGAAATGAAGTCAATGCGTGATAGGATCACAAAGATAGTGGATGAAGCTAGAGCTGGCATTGAGGAAGAGTATGCTGAGGCCATGGAGATGACTGACCTTGAATATGGTTCTGGTTTTATTGTTCAAGGACACTTTGTCATAACAAACATGCATGTCGTTGAAGCTGCTCTCCATGATGAAAGCAAGAGAACCCAAATTATAATTTCCAATGAATTCATTGGTGAGGTGCCTTGTGATGTCATGCACAATGATGCTCAAAAGGATCTTGCAATCCTTTATTGCAAGGATCTTGAATTGAGTGGGATTTGTCCTTTAAAATTGTCAGATACATCACTTGCTACTGGAATGCAAATTTTTGCATTTGGTTATCCTATGAGTCACAGAGGAAAGACAGCACTTTGTGTTACTGGATGTGTTGCAGGAACCAAGAAAACATTTTCGGGTCTGACAATGACAGTGTTAAATTGCCCTCTTAACTGTGGCAATTCTGGTGGTCCAGTTCTTTGCTGGGTCAAGGGAGAATTCAAAGTGGTTGGTGTTGCAACACAGAAACACATCAAAGGCATTCTAACATTAGATGAAAGACTCACTATCGCAAAAATAGAGGAAACCTTCCAGACCAGCATTATTCCACACACAACAGAACTTGAGCGTGAATATTCTACATTCAATGAATACACCTCAACTGTTGAAGTACCGTCCGCATTTGGCTACAAGAAGAGAAAACATGTATATGAAGATCAGTTGACACGGTTTCTAACTCCTGATCCACGGCAAACACCACTGAATATTCTAGTCTTAAAGCTTTATCATGCCTTGGAAACACACTCACAGTTTAACTTGAGCAATGCAGTGCCAGCACATGATGTGCTTGAGTTTATCCAAGACTCAATCAATAAGTATAAAGGAGACTACCACAATGAATTTACTGAGATAATTAACAGACTTTGCTCTGCTCTTGTCTTAGAGTGACCTTCCCAGTCAGCTCTACTGTTTTAGTGAACAACTTTACTGACATTTTTGGGGTCATTAATAGTAACGTGCTTGCCAAATTACAGTAGTGGAGAAGCTTACCAGTCCTTTGACAGGTTAGAAAGCTAAGATTTGTTAATGATTACTGTAAGAAATACATGACAGTTTTTGTGTTTTAGGACTTTATCTTCTGGTCAACATTTTCTTAGGCTTTGTTTACATAAAGTCATTAATTCCAAAATTAATGGCAAGGTTATTTTTTCGGAAATTCCATCTGAAATTTGGGGATGACAGTTTTAGCCTGTTTTTCATTCTGGTTGGTATGAACCAGACAGGCTGTTGTAATTTGCCAGTCAAAAGGTACCATTATACTTACTATTCTGCCATTAGGTAACCCAACCTGGTTTTTCAGTCAAATGGTGCATGCCAAACAACTTGCCGTTGTCTGTAAAATATCTGTTTGAAGGAAGAGATGTTGCCTGGAAATGTATATAGCCTAGGAAAGGCTGCAAAGAAAATTTCTTTTCTTTTGCTGACGCAAGATTTTCAAAATTTTTTTTAGACGATGTAGTTTCTGACAATTAAAAGTTAATTGTCATTAACTTAATTATATTCACTATAACATGCTTGACAGGAGCAGAATGTTATGGGACTTTTATGGACCATTTAGGCTTTAGGTGGGAGTTTTGTTTCATTTTACACTACTAATCTCAGACTGTCCAACCACCCCGATTTTTAGGGATTCTCCCTATTTTGCTTGAAAATCCTGAATCCCACCCAATATGCCATCAGGATAAGAAAAAAACCCAATTTTTACCTGTCCTGATATTTCCAAATGTATTCTTATGATACCTATGCAAGAACACATAACAGGGTATATGTAGCCCAGTTTTTTTTAACTAAACTTACTGCGCTTTTCACAAACATGTGAAATGTAAAAAAAAAAGCCTTCTTTACAATTGCGTTTTTCGCTGCTGTCAATCATAATTACAATCACAAGCGACGAACCTGGAAACACAGAAACACAAAAAACAGATCGAAATCCACCAATCACAAATCACAAACCTTGACCTTTTGAACCCATTAAAGTAAAGTTTTGTTTCCTAAGAGGTCTGTTAAGATGATTGACGGCAGCGAAAAATGCAATCGTCAGTTGACTTTGAACTTCAGAATTCGCATGTTTGTGAAAAGCACAGTAAACTGATATCCAGACAACTTTGAAAACTGAACGAAATATAAAATTAAATCGAGTAGTTGAACACGAAGCTGTGCAAATAAAAACAGCACAAAAGTGACAATCGAGTTAGAGAACATTTCAATTCAGACAAAAATAATTGTCCTCTCAGAACACTAGAAATGACGTTTCAGTGGTTCAAAATTTTCTTGGGAATAATGTAGCAGCTTTCTTGTTATCTTGGGTTTTTAAAAACTTCCTGATCTTACATACTCAAAAAGTTTGGACGGTCTGTAATCTAGCTCCCATCTTTTGTCTTTTAGGTGTTTAATTAGGTATGCTAGGTAGGTTTTTACATAATAATGTTATTCTTATTTCTACTATCCCTTTTTTAGAAATATCTGGCCATTTGATAGTGAGTAAAAGGATGCATAGGGTTACAATGTCTAGCATGTAAATGCGTTCATGGGTTTTAAAGAAAAGGTTTAAAACCTTTCCTTGCAAAGGGTACAAGACATGCATGTAGCTTGCTTGGGCTGCATTCATAATAAATACTGTAAGTTGGTGGGGGAGCAGAGGATATTTTTAAAGGGGCACAATTATTTCACATCCCCCACATCATACAGAATTTTTTTGACATCACCCCTCTTGACCTAAAGAAAACAATATTACAAGCCCCCATGCCCCTTCGTGATAAGGAAAGTTAAATATAGGCAATAAAATGAAATGGTGCAGAGATAAATAGTTAAGATAGGGAAACGTTAGACAGAAGGGTCAAAGTTGTTAGCATTTCTGGCGATGGTGTAACGTGTAACTTAGGGGGTGTTTACATTAGAAAACTCGCACTGGCGCAAGTCTCATACCGGGATGACTTTTTCATTTCATATCTTGTTATTTGAAGGTACACTTCATGTTGATAAAATACATGTGTGATTTAAAATCGCAAACATTACGCATGCGATACCCATTCCAGTCTACCGGCACACCGATTTCACACCGAAACAAGTGGTCATTTCGCATTTACATGATACCTTTGCGAGATTTCTTGCCCTGATACAACAACTGGGGTGAACTCATGCCGGGTGACTTGCACCGCCACCATGACGTTTTGTGGTGGTATCATGTAAACAAATTTAGAGCCATGAGAGGGAACCCGAGTGAACTTGCGCCAGCATGAAAGGCCCCCCTGGTGTCATGAAAACACCCCCTTAAACTAGGAAGTTGTAGCAGATTAATGCAAGCTGTGGCTCTGTTGGAAATTGCCTACTGGGGTCATGTGGCAGTTTTGGTCATACCTGGATAGGTTAAATTTGGAACCTAGACTAAATAATAAATCTGGTAGTCATTGAGATTGACATGTAAATTTGTTTGAGTTTAGTTTTTTTCTGGTCTATTGTTGTAAAGTACTGAGTTCTTCTGCAAATGAGTGGCAGCAAAACTCAAATGCGTCTTGAAAAGAAGATTGTAACTGTAAATGCCCATAGAAATTGGATGTGAATTTTATTACTGTCCTTGTGAAATGTAACAGTCAGTAGAGACTTGTATTTAATATGAATGATATGGAGGCAGCATGGCCGAGTGGTCAGTGCGTCAGATGTGCAATCCAGTAGTTCTGGGTTCGAGTCCCGCTCTGGCAACTTGCTGGATTTGATCTCGGTCATCCCGAGTTCAGCTCCTCGGATTCGCTTGTAAATAGCCGACTGGTTCCCTCCTGCCAGTTGGGGTTTTTAATCCTTTTATGTTGTATTTGAATTATTTGTTTATTTGTATTTGAATTATTTGTTTATTTGTTTATTTTTTTATTCAGCCGTAATAAACAGAGGTCAAAGGATATAAAACACTTAACAACTGCATCTGAAATCAAATCCTGTCAGGGACACCTAGTACAAAAGCATAAACCACAGGAAATGATTACTCAGTATGCATGTAACAAACCTGCTTCATGACCTCTAAATATAAGACTTAGTGCGGCAAAAACAAGATTTACTCAGTCAAAGTTTAGAATGCTACACGTCTTGCACTGTGTAGTGCTAGTAACCTTCGCGCGAGAGAAAAAAGAAAGAGAACCACTGTTCAAGCAGACTCTCAAGGTCACGTTTCACATTATCACGAGCTTATGAGTCGTGTTTGGCCTGTCAACGCTTATTTCTTAAGAATCCATAGCAGTCGCACAGATGACTGTTAAGCAAAAACTTAAGAAAATACCTACGAAGGAACAACAAGACATCGCGCTCTAGTTCAAAGACTCACTTATGTTAAGAAAAACTAAATGGACTGTGTGGGCGCTAAGAGAATTATCTTGACTGACGCACGGCATATTTCTCCAAACTTGGTGTAGCTTTAGTTTTTAAGCTACAGTGTACAACTCATATCTGAAGATCGCACTATCTGTGGAAATTCAAAATCCTGCAAATCACACTATAGAGCTGGGCCCAGAGTCATACTGACATGGCAGGAAATAATCACATTCACGGACAAAGAAACTTGCATGCATGCATGTAGTTATTCAGATACAGCCATTTCGGAGAAAACCAAAAAAACTAAAATCTTTATTCAGCCGTAATAAACAGAGGTCAAAGGATATAAAACACTTAACAACTGCATCTGAAATCAAATCCTGTCAGGGACACCTAGTACAAAAGCATAAACCACAGGAAATGATTACTCAGTATGCATGTAACAAACCTGCTTCATGACCTCTAAATATAAGACTTAGTGCGGCAAAAACAAGATTTACTCAGTCAAAGTTTAGAATGCTACACGTCTTGCACTGTGTAGTGCTAGTAACCTTCGCGCGAGAGAAAAAAGAAAGAGAACCACTGTTCAAGCAGACTCTCAAGGTCACGTTTCACATTATCACGAGCTTATGAGTCGTGTTTGGCCTGTCAACGCTTATTTCCGACTGGTTCCCTCCTGCCAGTTGGGGTTTTTAATCCTTTTATGTTGTATTTGAATTATTTGTTTCTAAGTATTTGAGTGGAGTGCTTTTAAACTAGCTGGATACTGTGCTAAGTGCACTTTTCACTGTAAACAAGCCTTTACGCCTTTTTTCCCTAATTATTAGGAAGCAAGAAGATGTATCAAAAGTTAAATTCTACTGTTTAGCCATTCGTCAACCCAGCTGATTGTTTAGCGGTTTACATAGGTGAACATGAATAATAAATACTGAATAATAATAATAATAATAATAATTTTAGTGATGTATTTTACAAAATTAGCTCAGAGATTAGGAGGGCCTCCGGTAACTAAAAAAGGCAACCTCGTAAACTAAGTGTGGCGGCAGCCATTGACTGCAGAGCAGAAGTTGACCGTAAATCACCGTGCAAAGAAAGTCGTGTCCGATAGCCCGGGGCTAGTGGATTTTGCAATTGAGCTGGTGAATCCTGTTCTTAACTTGCCCAAAGGGCAAGTGAAGTTTTGTGGGAAATTCAAATTACAGAAGATCTGTAATCAATGCTTCTCATCAAATATTTTTCTGGGCTACTTAAAAGACTCTTTTGGCTACTACATACTAGCAACAACTTGCCCGAATGGTAAGCCGTAAAACCGACTTTCTTTGCACCCTGCTGTAAATAAATGGTACACCTGTGTACTGTAGTTCTTCAGAATTTAGAAAAAGACAGTGTTAAGTAGAGAAGCCTTCAATAACCCTTGCTATCTAAGTAAAGCTTGTTTTTTGGGTGCAGAAAATAAATTACTGTGTAGTAGCTGGGTGTTGTCATTTATTTTGAAGCACATAAGAATGACAAAAGCATTCTCTAAGAATTTGTTTAAAAATATCATCTCTTCCTCATGAAAGTGCTAAGTCAGTAGATGCTTTTTTACTTCTAATATTCCTCCAAGTGCTAGTGAGTTCAGGTGGGAGAATGAAATCTCTTACTTAAACGTATATTACCAGTCAATTTTACATGATTTTGTTTGTCTGTATCTATCACTGTCACTTGGGTAAGACTGGGATGACGTTAATGGAGGCCACACCTTGACCTTCCAAAAATGCAGCCCTTGTCTTATTGAGTTTTGATTTTTGACATTGTTAATGCATTATTATGGCTGTTGTTTTATTTGGATATCATGGGTGACAGACCTTCAAAACTAACTTTTAGTGTGCTAAAAATTTCAGTCACTGCACAGCAAAACAAAGCCAGTGTAGTCTTTCAACTCCTTCTGGACATGCTATTAACAGTCATGTTGTAAGATTTAACATGTACCTATGCTTTTGTTGTCATTTATTTTAACAAAACAAGGAAAAAATAACCTTGCACTTTGGTTATTTGCAAAAGCATAAAAAAATTCCATTTTGCCCTCTTTTGAATAAATAAAGTTCCTTTATTTCAGCACAAGCTATTTTTACTATGGAAAAGACAAAATCATTCATTGCTAAAAATATCAATTTTACTGATCTAATGTTGTTTATTTTTATCTATACAGCATTCAACAACTGTATCTTTACAATTACTGCTTTGTTCATAATTAACAGTTCATTATTTACAATTAAGTCTATGAAAACTACTTCAAAAGGCCAGTACTAATCAAATGAGAATTTTAATACATACCTACATAGAAGCCTATTTTTACTGTAAATGAATACTGCAGTACTTTATTTTTCAAGACTGTGCTCAAACAAAAATTAATAAATTGAAATCCATGGTGCCCAGCATATGATTTCTAGAAGAAACTAAGATTTTCTTGTCACCTGGGAGCACAAGTTAGGTGCCAGGGGCCACTGGGTGCTGCTAGAGCACAGCCTTGTTTATTGTTATTGAGACTTGTCATTATAATCTTTAACAACTATCTATTAGCCATTTGCACATGTGGCTCCCATCATATACCTTGTTTGCCCCCCAAAACTTTGCATAACCTTTGTTTTGGATTTCTCCTAGGTATAACGGTGGTCCCAAGGGAAATATAAGACAATGCTTTTGAAAAATGTTAGGGGGGCAAATGAGGTGTATTATGGGATATGTGCAAATGGTGAATCTATACTTGTAGAAGTTTGCTAAAAATACCAAACAAAAGGACATAAAAAAGTACTAAAGCAAAAAAATTGTCAAAAAAATTTTATCCAATTTTTATGGTAATGTCCTTAACATTCTTTTGTCATGAAAGGAGCAAAAGCATTCATGTCGTTTGAGTATTTTTAACCGTCAAACGAATCTTATTTACTTAATAAGATAAAATTTGACAAGTCAAAGAGACAATAACATAACAAGTAGAGTCAAGCTACATACAAACTTAACCTGTCTTGGTGCAATACAAAAGCATTTGACCTATTATATTTTACCACCCAAAGTTTTGAAGTGTGTATTACAACAAATAATTATTAGAATAAATTGTTATGGTCTTCAAGTAATTTTTATGTACTTATTTCCCCATCTTCCTTACAACTGATAGGTTAAATGATCAAAGCATCCCTATACACATTTGCAATGGTAAATTTAGATGACACAACTATTTTCTTTTTCTGAACTTAGATACAGTCCTTAAGAGGAATTTGCCCAAACAAGACAAATTATTAATTAATGAAGTTTAAGTCAAGGACTTTTTACTTTGCAATAATAATTATTGAATAGCGTAAAACAATAGACCTATTCGGCTAACTCAATGTTGTACCCAATTCAAATCTCCTGGGGATAAGATTCTTTGTGTATTGTATTTGCATTATAATGTGGCATTCACATTTAAATGATATGGAAATTCCTGAAACAAAACGTTTTATTCCCAAAGGGTTTGAATTGGGTACAACATTGAGTTAGCCGAATAGGTCTATTATTGTTTTACGCTGTTGCCACTGACATTTGCTCGAGGTCCTCGGGAGGGTAGTGAGTCTTTCGTCAAAAAGAGTAAGTTGTTATATAATCACAAAGGTTGGTGAGTCAGCTACACCTGGAATGAAGAAAAGAAAAGGTGAGCCTTGACCTCAATCAACCATTATTCATCAAAGTCTCAAACAATCTCTTGTAATCCTCATGCTTCCAGGAGTATCCAAACATAGTTCTAAGCAAATTTACTATATTTTGAAGATAACCAAAAGTTGAAAAGGAATGGATTATAATCCTAATTTACTCCTAGAGTAAATGAGAGTTGTGAAAGGCAGTTCTAAGTTTCGAGTCTGTGGATGAAATCTAATGATGTGAACATTCAAACAAAACCTCTCCCCTTGATTAAGTATGCCAAATTTCAAGCAAGTGAAAAAAAGCTCTGCTACAGGGTGTTTCCAGCCTGCATAGCAGGTGCCAGTTATTTTTCTTAGTTTTTATAGAGCACCTGAAGGGAATCCGCAAAGGGCACAGCAGCCTCCTCTCCTTTTCTTCCCTTTTCTTCCCTTAAAAAGCCGGCTACACAAGCCAGTTACAAAAGTTAGCTTGTCTCCAGCTTTAATTTCACATAGTACAGTGTGCTTTTTGTTTTTCCCATTTCACAAAATAAAATTTGGCATTTTTGTTAATATTTGAAATTGACCACTTCGGGGGAAGAAAGGCTTTAATATTAAACTCACCACATAGGTTATCGCCCATTTTAATATACAGGTATCCATTATCACCAAAGCTGGATCCCCATGAATTTCTCACAATCCAGTACGAGATGTGCTCTTGAAAACAGAAAGAAGTTACAAAGAGTTCACAATATGAAAGCAATTTATTTCTCGGGTATAATGCTGAGCTGAGTTTTGCTTTACAAAGAAATAGTATGTATAATAAAAAAACAATCTTGATCTTCAGTCACTCACTATTTAAAATAAAAAGGCATTTCCTTTTACTTTAAACAACAATGGAATGAGTGCACTAATTAATGGTGTGGCCTTTAACACAGCTGATGGATAAATGGACAAAGATTACTGTATTAGTAACAAGCACACTGCAAATTAGTGCTATCCATTCAGTTAAAGGAAAATAGGTCTCCTTTGAAAGTGACAACACCCAGGTCTTACCATTAAAGTCATATCCAGTGATTTGAACGGCGTGGTTAATATCAGTATCTGTACAGTGGTGTTGTATGATACCACCTGACAAGATTAATAAGAAAATGATCATTTACATTAGAGGGTGTTAGCCTAGGTCACCATGGGGGTCGGGGTAAAATCCTGGGAAATTAAGGTTGGGGTGTGTGGCCTGGAACCCTGCCTGTAATAATCTCAGACTAGCGTGGATAGCAAATGTTTCCGTCCTGTTTAGGAGCAAAGAACAAGGAATGTGAGTGAAAGACTGAGGGAAAAATGGCTCTCGTTTCATTTCTCGCGCGGCTAAAACTGAAAATCCCGTTCCTCAGTCTTTCTTTGATCTGAAAACCAAACGGAAACACTTGCTACCGAGGCTAATCTAAGACCGAAATATGTGTCCCTACCACTATGAAGAGCCATTGCCAAGGGGCAAAATAGTAAAAACAACCAAAGAAAACAATAATTAAATGTAACTAAAAAATGGAATGTGCATGTAAACTGCAAGAATATCAGTACTCACCAAGGTAGTCATGCCACATGGTGGCATCCACATTAACAGCCAAAGGACCATGCAGCCCAACTAACTGTTTCATATTAGGGTCCTCAGTCTTACTACCATATATCAAAAAGAGAAATATATACAGCAAAGTCATTCAAAAGGAAAGCACGACTTATCGGAAAAAGACTTGGCCAGATTGATTATGAAGTATTTCTATGACACAATGTGGCACGCTATTTCAAGTGGCCCTGTCAGGACAAAATTGTGACTTAGTGTCATGACCTTGAAACAGCAACAGAAGACAGATTAAATGGTGAAAAACAATGAAAGATAGGCTAAAACTGTGACAGAAATGAGAACAATCGCAAACACAGTTGAAAATGTCCATGTTGGACCACCTCTCCTAGGCAGCAATGGACCACCACCCAAAACATTCCCTGTCAAAGCCTCACAAGTTGTAAACTCTCGTAAACAACCACCTCTTATAACAGGGACATTTCTTGCACCTCAATATATATGACCAATGGTTTGAAATTCAGACTTACCCCCTCCCCCCGGTCCCTGTCTCCCCTAAGAGGGATTCTAGGAAGAGCTTCTCTCCACTACTTGTACAAAGAAATTTAAAAATACATGTATCCTAAAAGTAATCCTATTAAGTGATCTTCTTCACATTAAATTTATTACATGCCTTGTTTTTGAAGTCCAAACAATATTTTCAACTGTATGCAAACAATACTTTCAGATCCCTCGGGATAATACTGCCAATAGTCCAGTTATTTATCGTGGCCGCTGAATAGAAGCATTGGAGGCTCAGTCTAAATACTAAAGCGTTTATTTATTTGAAACATACAATAAAGGCTTGCACTATATTAAAAGAGAGGATGAGGCAATCAAACTCACTTTAAGAACCACAAAGACTAAATAATATTACATTTTGTTAGTATATTAATCAACATGAAGTAATACAAGAGAAGGAAATTAATTACAGTTATTTGAAAATTATTCACAAACTGGTGACCAAGCTCACTGGCCGAGAAAAAGTAGTAACAAATACAAGTTGCACACATAGAAATGACAAATTGCCAGCCAAGTACTTATTAATAATTTCCAAGTACAATGCTACAATATGGATTATTAATCTAATTTACTACCTTGGCCACCAGCCAAACCTAATCAGGTTGATCATGCACAAATGAGCAAGGAATTATGAGGTCTAGTCTAGTCTAGTTTCTTTAATCCCCATAACTTTGTGAACAGATATCACTGTCTTATCCTTTTTAATAGTGCCAATAATATCAGTGAACCCTAAAAGAACCTTTAATGGACAGTCAAATAGCAGAAAGTGCTGAGTAAATTATGGTCAGTGAAAAAGATAAATAATGTATTTCTTTCCAAATTACTTATATTTGCAAATCACGGCTGGCATCATTATTTACATTTTTGCTCATGCTCATTTGAATACCACTTAACCCATGGAAAGCTTAGCCTTTGAGTACACCTGCTTCTCATAGCTCCCTGCTGCTTAGAATGTTTCATGAAACAACCCTGGCCTATTGGTGGAGAGTGATGGGAGGCGACTGTATTCATAGGCTATAGGAGCGGTTTTGCCAGTTAGTACCAAAAGGTGCTTGGTACTGCTTCAAGCATTTTTCAAGGTAAAAGGCTATGCCTATGGAGTACAGAATTTTTCTACTACTTTCACCAGCTCGTCTTTGCAATCTCCCTGGTACTTCTCGATGGACATTTTTACAAAATCAATCACCTGATCCCCTGGTAATGCATTGCTTAAGTTAAATTGTGAGTGGGTTTCAAGAGCATCATACAGCTTTAGTGTCAATAAATACACTGCTGTTTTGCCAAGAAGAGGCAAATCCCCTGCAGGCCCAAAATAAAACTTAGCTGCTTCAGATAACTCTGAATCTTCTGGAATAACACAAGTTTGCAACATTTTTCGTATTTGTTCAATTGTTACCTGTTCATTCGGAGTTAAAATGTTTTTAAAATGTTTCTGTGTAGCCACACCAACCACCTTTAACTGACCTTCAACCCAGCAAAGAACTGGACCCCCAGAATTGCCAGAGTTAAGAGGGCAGTTTAATACTGCCATTGTATGACCCTGAAGCATTTTCTTAGAACCAGAAACATAGCCATTTACAAACAGAGCTGTATCTCCCGTGTGACTCACTGGAAAACCAAAAGACAAAATTTGCATGCCTGGTAACAGTGGCTGATCTGAAAATTGTAAAGGTTGAGTTTGATTTATCTTTAAATCTGGACAATACAGAAGGGCCAAATCTTTACCTGCGTCATAGTGAGCAACTTCACAAGGAAGTCTAACATCACCCAAGGCTGCATTGGAAATTAGTACTTGAGTAATGTGGCTTTCATCATTGAGTGCCAATTCAATGACATGCTTGTTAGTGATAATGAAGTGATCTTGAATGATAAAACCAGAACCATGCTCAACTTCAACAAAGGCAGTGGCTTCATCATATTCTTGTTTAATGCAAGCTCTTTCTTCATCAACCTTTTTCTTTTCATCAGCTCCAGGCCCTTCTTCTTCTGGGTACTTATCAACAAGCTTTTTTGAATCAAAATATTGGATTGCCTTTTGAATGTCAAAAATATCATATGTCTGGTCAATTCTTAGTGTGCCTTCATCGGTAGCTTTGCTTGGAAAAATGTTAGTATAATCACACACAAAGCTACCTGCAAAACAATCTCTCACTCGACGCTCAGCCTCAGTAAGGGTATATCTTTGCTTGTTGAGCTTGTCTTCCCTATACTCTTTTTCTAAACAAGTTCTGTGTGCATCAATTAATTCCTTCAATTCTGCAGATCCAGGTCCATCACTTGGATATTTTTCAAAGAGAACAAGATTTGATACCAATTTTGGCTCCCATCTGTTTTGATACAGTATATGGTTGGCATCAATGCAGCAAAGTGAGCGGCAAATGAAAAAAATGTCAAACGCCTTCTGATGACACAAGGATATTGTTCGGTTAAAAAGACCCCTAAATGCATACACATATTTAGCACAAGAACTGCAATAACAACTTTCTACTCGGTGAAATGCTTCTTCTTGTGAATATTTACGGTGCTTTTGGATAGATGTACTTGTAAAAGAGACTGTCACAGCTTGTTGATACTCAGTGTCAACATCATCCCTTTGTTTCTTCACTTCTTCAGACACTTGACATCTTTGACAACTTAATTTCTCAATATTTTTCGAAACACTTACACTATCATGTTTTTTAAATGCCTTATATATGTCACTAATGCTACAAGTGTCAGGAGTTGACATCTCTTTCTTTCTTCTCTCATATGGGTCTCTAATTTTGCAGATGTAGTCAGCCGTCTTTCTCTCAAGTAATGATGCATCCCCCGCAAAATTTCCAGCAAAGCAATCCCTTACCCGACGCTGGGCAACAAGCCACGAGTATCTGTGCCGTTCATCCCGGTTGGCAGTTGCCTCCCTGACCTCTCTCTCTACATCTTCGCGCCGTTTATCAATCCAATTCTTCCATTTATCAGAATCAGTCTGTTTGCCTGCAGGATACTTTTCAACGTACGGAGTATTATCAAGACGAACAAGGGACTCATAGATGTCAATTATTCCATAGTTATCCCTAAAAGAAGGAAGCAATATTTTCTCAATTATGCTCTCGTCCATCAATGCATGCTCTGTGTTAGATGTCTCCGGCTGTTTAAGAATTCTTCTGTACAGTGCGTTGAGCCCATCAGGGTACTTTCCTGCGAAGCATTTCTCCAAACGCTCAATTGTTGAGCTATAATCATAGCGCCGTGTTTGTGGTCTTCCATAGATCTTGACCTTTACACAAGCATCCAGTGCTTTTCTTCCCTCTTGACGTAGTACATCACAGCCATTCATGAGTATGGCGCACGTTCACATTCGTCGATAGCAACAGACAGATCATCAACAGTCAACTTAGGCTCGATTACCAGCCGCTGTTCGGGAAAATGAGCCCAAAAAGACCGGACCCGGGAGACGGTGGAAATCGAGCCTACAGTCAACTGAACTTACTAACGCAGTGGTACCTTACGAAGAAGGAAAAGAATGGTGACGGTGCAATGACTAGGTAACCAAGCATTGGCTTGAGTGGGTGGGGGCGGGGGGAGACAAGGAAGCAAGGCGCGCCCGTTTCTCTTAATTTCTCAGCTGATTTCTCTTAGGACCTTTTGAGTTTAGGTAGCTCGATGCAGTTTTTTCAGAGTCAATACCTCACAAGTTCAGGCCCGTAGCAGGCGGAGGGGCAGCGAAATTTTCAGACTTGAATTAAATTCTGCTACAAAGGTGGAATTTTTCTACTAAAATGGACAGCTGTCAATGGAAGCTAAAGTTTCAAAGTATTGTCGATCATAGTAAGATTATGCACTGTTGTTCTTCTGTGCAATTTGGAATTGTGTAAATGAACGAAATCGTATTTTTGCTCTTTCAAAAACAACCAACAGCTTTAAAATATCTGCTTATTAAGCATCAAAATATTCAGAAGCATTTCGAATGGATCGAAATGCACCAATGACAATCCCACCTGAACCACCTCATGATGTTGCATGTTCACAAGGAAAGAACAGATGCTCTGCAATTGTTTGGCAAATTTTCCGCGAACGATATCCCAAACAAGTTCTCTATTTCGTCAAAGTTAACACAAACGGAAAATTAGAGACAAGAACAAAAAGGTATTGTAGACAAATGTAGTGATCTGACATTTACCTAGACTTGCTCACAAGTTGAGCTTTTGAGCGCGTAGCGCGACTGTGAGCGCGGAGCGCGAGCGAGCGAAAGCCGGCCGAAAGCCGGGTCCTACCACACCAGACCAGAAAACCAAGCGAACGACTTTGAGAAAGTCTATAATTAACAATGCATTTGACATATGCACAAATGCTAGCTATTGCTGTGCACGAAAATATGAAACTTGGAGACAATACCCTTTAATAATGTACACAAAATTTCTGAAAATTTATTAGCGAATTGTAGACTTTTTTTACTGCCTCACAATAGGGCCATTTATACGAGGAAAAATTAGACGCGTCTTACATAAGACGCGTCTTAAATAAGACGCGAACTGTACCATTTATACGAGCATGTCTTGGGCGCGATCCATTCAACAAAAATTTCCGGAAATTTCGGTCCAAAACTCAATGGATCGGTTCGGTCCAACTGGAAAAGTTTCGAAAAAACGGGTCCACCTTCTGAGGTGGACCAATTTTCCCGGTCGGACCGGTTGGAATTTTGGTTGAATGGATCGCGTCCCTTATCTAAGACGAGAACAGCTCGTATAAATGGTTCGCGTCTCATTTCTGTTCTTGACTGGTTTTCATGTGAATGTTGCCCGTAGCAACGGAAATCCAACGTGGCGCGCCAAAAATTAACGCATGCGTACTATGCGTTCGCGTCTTATGCGCGAAGGTCATTTATACGAAGTTTTTGTCGTCTTAGCTAAGAAGCGTCTTATCTAAGAACAGGTGTTAAGGGATGTTCTAAAATAAGACGCGTCTTAGCTAAGCCGCGTCTTATTTAAGACGAAATGTGCCGTTTATAGGGAAAGTTCGCGTCTTATTTAAGACGCGTGCTATATAAGACGCGTCTTATTTTTCCTCGTATAAATGGCCCTAATATATATGTCAATAATATAGAAACTAAAAGGTCATATAAAAGAACGGTTAATCTCAAGAATCTTAATTTTTTTAAAAAATTACTCGCTAACGTAAACCAAAATGTTTACAAAACCGCTAACAAAAGGACCTCGATACATACTAATCAAATCCTTGTTTCTAGCAATCGGCTGGATCTATCTGGCCTTTATGTTGACACACGTTTTCAAAAAAGATTGAAACTAATATGAGGTGAAATTGCATGTCAAAAGCGCTTCGTTTTCAACAGATAGCGGCCAAACATCAAGAATGTCCATTTTTACTTCAGTTCTAACCATAAAAACTTCACGAACTTGCCCCTCACCATGCAAATGCTTATAATATTCCACGACTTTGGGGAGATAGATTTTTGTTAGTTTTCAACAAATCACTTCATTTCAAACTTGGCAACTTTACCGTGTTGACAATTAAAGTTTTCGCTAACTGGTCCCAGTCAAAGGTGAAAAAAACCGTGGAAGGGATAGAGATTTTTCTAGTGGATAGCGTTATCGACGTTGTAATTTACCATGATAGCAGAAGCCCATAACCCTGACCACACGTTAGACGGGGGTTTTCATGTACATTTCAGATCAAGGGAATTGAAAATAACGTTTGCACCTAAGTTTGCGGGAGAAAACATATTTTGGACGATCCAGATACGTTTGTGCCTAATACTTCTTTATTTGCCCATGGTTGCACAGACCCTCCAGTTCCCCGCTCGACCGAAGGCCTGTTCACAGGCTAAGACCCTTAGCTTTGTCGCATTTGATATTTTTCTTTAACGACCGATTAAGAAGGCGTTGAGTTCAAAATTCCAAGAGAATAAACATGTGATGTAAACACTAAGTGAACACAATTCAAAGCTCAGATCATTGCTCGAAACGAAGTCAAATTTAACAGAACAAATCGCTTACTAACTACAGCGCACATCAACTGGCTTATAATGCGCTGCACGTATAGTTACTAAGTATCCAAAACGGTACGTTTACCTGGGGAAATGAAACAACCCTTGAATTCACCTTGGGTTTTGCACGGGGAATTTTCTATTGCTCCCAGTCTCACTTCAGGAAATAAAATCTTGGAAAACTATACAGTCAAGTCTCTCTAAGACGGAAGTGCCCTTAAAAAATGATGTATTTCGCAGAAAATAAAGGAAAAAAGAAAGGCAGAGACCAACTCTAGGTGTCCTTTTTATCTGGGCGTCCGTCTAAATGTGTCCTTAAGTCAAATTTAATTACTTTTTACTCGCTTATTACTGTTCTATTAGTTTACAGTATTATCAACGAATTTACCAGCTCCACACATAATAACTAGTTTGACTGCAAGTACATGTTAGATAGTTTAATAAGCTCGCCTGGGGGAGTTATGTCCTCAATATGACTGTGGTATTTCAGTGACTGACTGGCGTGTCGAAAACCTGTCCGGCGGTTGGTCCTCGATTTAGTGGCGTTTGTTCTAAGTTAGCCTTTTCAAGTGAGTCGTTTGTGGTAATCTTTATTCAGGTAACGCTTCAAATACATGCCCTATCATTACCCCCCTCCCCAACTCAAACTAGAAATATGTATCTCCCAACTCTTTCACGAAAATCAATGCGGCATTCAAGTAAAGCCCTGCTGAACGCGGTTAGGAACTGGCTGGGTGCAAATAAAAGTATCATTTTTCTTTGATTTCCACTCTTCTTCTTAATATCTAGCCAATATTTCATTCAATCCAAAAATGACGCAATTAAGTTACAATCCTTAATTCAATAATTATTTGTGCATTTTTTGAATGATTTTTCGAATGTTTTTAATGTATAAAATTTAGGGGGGAAGATGTTTAATATTTTGGGAAAATGGGAAAATATTGGATTTGGGGGTTGTTACAAATTAAAATATGAAGTGAATAATTAGTAGACAATTACCAGATAGTCCACCACCACAACAAGGTGCCTCTGATCCCATTAGCGGACTACCAGTAACTGGTTTATGTGCATATCTATTCTACCGTAATTTATTTCCTCTCCAAATCACCAACAAAAAACCAACCGTGATGCCCCCTTAAGACCACTAGAATGACACATCAGTCGCAATAACTGTGTGCTTGAAAAAGATTTAACTTACTTGAACAAAAGACACCCACATGATATTTTTGCACCTTTTTCTTTCCTAAAAGGAGTACAATAAGTTTAAGAATTAAAGAGGTGTTGTCAAGAACTGAAGGCATCCCATATGAAGGCATCCCATATGATCCAATCAGAGTGCCTTCAAACCCACTGAAAGGAAAACAGTCCTCGTACAAATAATCCTTATAATATTTCTGTTACATCACAACAATTCTCACTTGTGAGCCTGGGGTACCTGCCGAACAATGGGAAGAGAAAAAGGCAGGAATCTCTGGGCGCTATCCATTTTCCAAGAAATTGTGGGGTGTAAATAGAACACCGGTTTTTCACGGGTTGTTTACCATTTATGTGGGCAAACCGGTCGGTTCATGTTTTGGGTAAATGGGTAGCATTTAAGGACTGGTAAATTTTGTCACAAAATTGCATTAATTATCATTCGTTAGCCTGCATAGCATGGCATTTTTGTTGGACACATTACTGAGCCCAAAGGCAGAGAAGAACGTGCGGTTTCTCTGCCTTCGTACTTCTACAAATGGAATTGAGCTTAATCTACAACAACAGTGGGATAATACTCACAAGAGATTAGTTTTGCAAGTTGTTTCTCTGTCCTCATAAGGAAACTCGGAATCTGGAGCCAAAGTATAATTCTGAAAATCAAAGACATCCATTCAGGAGTTCAAGATATATATTTAATAAAATCCAACTAGTGGTCTATTATCAATGCTGCGTTCTGATTGGTTGAGCTACTACTAGGCTATATGTTATAGCCCACAAGTAGTGCAAAGCGCCGGCTTTTTGGCAGCCAAAAAGGCTTAAGGTCTAGCTTTAACTAGCTTAAGTTGTTTACTCTTGGTATTTTTGACCAACTAGTTGGATTTTACTAAAACAATATCATTATTCCTCTCACCCTCATGGGCTATTGACTCAGAGCCCATTCGGGCTTGAGGAATAATTGTTAAATATACACTAGAAATGTATGTCAAGAAAGGGATTCTTCAATGACAAAAAATCCCAAAAAGAGTACTTTTTTGTTAAGAGTAGAGAAGTCTGGAGTAGTCCCCTACGGGGTAAGGGTAAAAATAAAAGAGTCTGTTCAAAACCAACTCGACGGACAGAGGCTGACTATAAATGCACAGGGTTCCTAAAAGGTTTTTTGGGATGTGGGATTCGTCTCATTTGAAGGCCACGATTGGGATTTAAATGCTGGCAAAATTTTATTTAGGCTAAGTTGACCTTGAGCCAATGCCATCAGCGGTGTTGCCCATTATAGTCACTCGATATGATGTGCTGGGTGGCCAATTTGGGGCTTTCAGGGCTGTTATTCTTTCCATCATTTGCAAACTATTTTTTTCAGCTGATCTTTGCAGATCACTTTGTCTCTTATGAATGTTAGCGAATCTTTGCGGATTCTTTTCCTGCCTCGACCCCGCTATCATGTGTGGGTGCACAGGTAATAAAGTATTTCACTTGGTAAGTATCTTTTCCACTGAGTTTTTTTCTCAGTGTGTTGCTGCCAGTTAGTGACTGCTGGCAGGGGTGGTTCCCACTTCCAAGGTTGCTTGGTTACCTCCTTCCAGCCTCCCCCACTAACCTTTTAGGCACCAGTTTCCACGCTCATTAATTGGTGATAACTTTAAAAGTAAAATGGAGGTGAGGTTCAGGATTGAAAGTATATTGGACAGTACAAAATGCAGACTGCAGTCTGACTGCAGACCATTGTTTTTATGGTTCAAAAGCAATGGGACTATTGTTGTCATGTTCTCATTTGCATGGTGAAAACAATGGTCTGCAGCAGTCTGCAGTTTGTACTGACTGGAAAGTAGATATGGGATATGGGATGCCGAAAATAGCCATTGAGATTATGGGATTGAGCACAAATCTGGATTGGGAAGATGGAATTGATGAAAACTATTGGGTACCCTCGAGGTAGAACCCAAGGACTCTCAACATACCAAAACCTGGAGGCAAGCGTACAATGAAGTGGCTGGCAAAGGTGCTTCTTGGCATTTAAAGAGTTGTTGTTGCGGAGAAGGATGATGATGACAATGATAATGATGATGATGATGATGATGATGATGATGATGATGATGATGATGATTTACGTCTTTTTAAAACTTTTTAAAACGTTTCTGGGATAGAGAGCACTGACGCCTACCTACCTGGCCTTGCAACCAAACAAACGCTTGAAAAGTATTTCCACCTTTACAACCCTTATTATTGGTTGAACAAGAAATGAATTCTTGAACGCTGAGTTTAGTCAGAGGGTTATTCGCAATAGCCCACTGGGTCTCAATGCACTCTGTGGCAGTGAATGCCCTACATGCAAAAAAAGAAAACTATTAGAACGAGGTTTTGTAAGTCAGTGGCTCAGGCCTAGACAATAAGAAAATAGGAAATCCGAGTTCAACTAACAAGTGTTAAATTTATGACCTTCTGCAGTGGCCGACCCAGGGGGAAGGTCCTGGGTGTTCATCACCTTCTATCAGACCTGATGCTTGTTTGAGACTTAAATTCTTACATCGACAGGATCTGATATCACTTTTTAACTGGCTGATTTTTTAAATGAAATCATCATTAAAATTGTAATGCGCAACTGCGACTGGTGGGAGGGGGTGTGGGGTGCAGTAATTTGCCACAAAAAAATTCAACAGTCCTTTCTGAACCAAAGCTTGGACCCCCGCCCACCCCCTCCCCACCCAAAAAAGGATCTTGTAACATCTTTTCCTTTCCATCTATTGGAAAGACCTGTGATTACAATGTAAATCACTTTACAGCTGTCACGTTGTACGTAATTAAATCCCAGTCTGACGAATTCAATTTTACCAATAAAAAATCTGACAGCTCACTTATTCTCACAACTGGACTTTGGTCAGTAGTGCAACTAGCACAACAGCATTAAACAAACCAACGATATTTCTTGAAGTAAAATAAGAAAAAATTTGTCTGCACATACCAGCAGCTTCCACACTGTCAAAGACAAGAAATAGATTGAGAAATGAAAAACAAAAATCATGTAAAATCAAAAATTAATAAATGAACCAATGATTAATTTTGCTACCCACCATAACTAAGGAAAACACTAGACCACCACTAGAATCTTACATCTCAGTGGTCAATGTACTTAGTGGACCTAGTTGATAAAGGATGTATGTCATGAACTAATATGTAGAGTGGGTTTATTTCCAGAACTAACTTAAGGCTATTAGCCTACAAGAAGACAGATACTGAGTACAAATTTCCATTATTAGTAATGGTAACGGGACTGAGTGGAGTCCAATTCGGTCTGTAATCATACGAGTGATTAACAAAATTGGACGACCGCGTTAAGTGGGAGTCCGATTTGTTTAATCACTCGTATGATTACAGACCAAATTGGACGACACGAAGTTCTGTTACCAATTAATCATAACTTTAACAAAATTTGTGATATATTAGGCTCTTTTTTTAATCAAAACACAAGAAATTCCGAGAATTTTTTTGCTAGGAGTGAAAAAAAAAGCCATTTAAGCGTGCGCGTGATGGCGTGTACTGTCCAATTACTTAGGCATGACGCGTACTGTCCTATTTAACTGTCCTATTAAGGCTGAAATCAGGGCAGTTGATAGCCAATCAGATTTAAGAATTTTGTTATAGTTATGATTATAAATATTATTATGTTATAACAGTGATTGTAATGCCAGGAAATGAATTCGCACAACAAAAGAACAAAATCAAAGACTCAGTATTGCATATTAAACATTGGGGGAGTCTACACTACTACATTTGCTTTTTTTGTTTTGTTGTTGTAACTGTTTTAAATAAACATTCAAAGATAGTATCTTTATAAATCTACCTCTCCTTGATTCTTCACAGTGGTAACCTTTCCCTTTTTATTCCTGCACAAAGGAACAACAAAAGTATCAAATATTATTCTACATCTACCTAACTTTTGCATCTGTGGAATAAATCCTATGGTGTTATTTATTACCATTTAAATGAAACCTCTTTGGAAAAACAATTGAGATTTGAAAGGAAAAATGTGGATTCTTCTGAAAATCTTTATTTTGGCCACTATTAGCAGCAAAAGGGTAAAGACAAGTACAGAACCTGGACGAACAACAGCGCAAAACCTCAGAGGTACCCTAAAATTGGATCTACCGAGAGTTTTAAGACGAGACTAGTAATATGCACATTTGAAGCAATTTTATACTTTCACACTTTATTCAATTTGTTGCATTTCTTAAATATTATTATACTCTGAGATAATAGCTCTCTCGAGCTATTTTAAATCCGAGTTTAAATACAGTTTTATGTATGTTACATGTATAGACCAGATCAAGATCTCCACATAGTAGCCATATTAGTAGGGTTAGGGGGATTGGTTGAACTATGGGCACCGTATTCATTCATTGGTGTTTAGGTATCGATCCGGCCTGAGTTTTGTCTCTCTGATTGTATATGGTACTAATTCAAACAATCTGACACACATACCAGTCTTGCCTATTTGGTGGAGCAGGGGCATTTAGTTTGAGGCTCACACAGGTATGTTTGAAGCACTCTTCTTGTACAGTATTCTGAAGGTTGTTTGTCAGTTTGAGACCAAGATCATTCCTACTGCCTCTTCTAAGAAATTCTACAAGAGAAGATCATTGGTAGTCAATTATTTATATAAAATTATTATTATTATGTGCAGAATTAGAAAGATTTCTTTAAATGTTTGAAAGACATCAAAAGCTCAGAGGTTGGCCAGTAGTCAAAATTCCAATAACAATAACCTCCCCACAAGGGCGATCTTTCGACAACAGTCACGTCTGTACAATAAGCACCTCTATACAACAGCAATGGCCACCTATCTAAAGTGGCCATCTCTCTACAATGACCAGCTCTTTACAATGGCCACCTCGCTCTACAATGGATACTATACTGTACAAAAGCCAATTGTCTGAACAATGGCCACCTATCTACTACAGCCACCTCTCTACAATGGCCAAATCTCTATAATGGCTTTGTCTCTAATATGGCCACCTCTCTACAATGGCTTCTTCGCTCTACAGTTTAACCTCTCTACAATGGCCACTTCTCTACAACCCAATAGGCCACCAAAGGTATCCCAGTGAAGAGCTGTCAGATAGTTTGGGGCTAGAAGAGGCCACCCATTGCACTATTTTTTAATTTTATGTTCATTCTATCCTGCTCACATGAACACATTTCTTTATTCAAACCTCTCTAAGTTTAAATCCTTTTCTGGTCAACTTTGTTTCCTAACATGACCACAAACAATAGGTCTGTATACTAAATTTATTAGTTACAAAAATTGATGGAAATTACCTCTAAATTCTTGAGGAGTCCAATCTGAAAATTGATTTACACCATAAACAGCTGTCCCTTTTAGTTCCTTCTCTCTTGCATTTAATTTAGCATGTCTTGCAAGACTTTTCTATAAAGACAAGGAAAGTTCAATCTAAACCAGCAACTGGAAGGGAAAAGACTTGACTAGTGTAATTTATTGTAAATGAGCCTTTTTTATTTCTACCACCTCTCCCATCCACATTAGCAACCTATCCCGTGAGGTAAATTCGTTTTTGTCACACCATGTACCTTGCATCAATCAAACATACACTTATTAAGAAATAAATGACAAAATAATTTTGCTCACGGTAAAGACAGCACAAAATTGCAACCTAAGAGACCCTAGGGACATTATTAATAATTTTTTAACCATTCGTATAATTTTTTTGATCAGTGTCAGCGCAGCAACTCAAGTGTAAGGAATGATTAATGTCACGGCCAGGTTGCATAAAACCTTCTCAAGGTAAGAGAGCGCTTAACTTTTGTTCTGGAACAATAACCTATTGTTTGGAAATAATAGTTACGAGTTTCCTTAATCTTAAGATGTTTTTTGCAACCCGACCCAGGTGATGTCACAAGCAATGAGCCAATTCCGAGTTCCCCCAAGCCTTTCTTTAAAAGATAAGCAAATGGTGCAAAGAAATTAATATGTTAATGAATTTTTATTCCTTCACAAATGAAACTCATTTTCAGAAGAAAGGATTAGCACTCGTTTGAAGTGAGACTTTTTGGAAATCGGTAATTATTTATTCCACTATCTGTTGTGAGCATAATTTATCATGACGTCATATGTAAAATAATGTCGCGCGTATAAACAGTTTTCCCGAAGTCAAGATCTTCAGCTCCGCTGTTTTTTCTTTTAACTTTAGAGTACATTACCTTAAAAATATCCAGTCTTCTGCCGTATTCCTCTGGATCATTGACATATGTCCTGTTATGTACTTCGAGGAATTCCTTGAACATCTCACTCACACCATCCCGATTGGTTTCATTTAAGCTTACATAAACATTATTACTTGATGTTCCCATAATAAGCAAGATGTTGAGCAAAAAAGACAAGGAAAAACATGATGGGAAGAACGAACGTTGCATAGCTTTTATCCTACGACAAGATTATGACAAATTCAAAGTTTGACAGATCATAAGACCCCAGTAACTATAACATTGATAGAAATCTACCAGGCGCTACGTCATGAGCACAGGTTACCCAAGATTTTGAAAAGTGTTTGCGGTACATTTTTTGCGCGAACATGTGCTGTGCCGATACACAAAAATTAAAACACGCAAAAATTTCGTGTCACATGATATGTTTCACCGCGTTCGTTCTTTGTTTAGTTTCCACATTCTATTCAGTCTTTTCAGTTTTCGCGATTGATATTCTGTTAAATTTTTCCGCATAATTTTCTTTGTTTCTAGAGTAATTTTGTAAGTTCGTCGGTTATTTTGGGTCATTTCGCTTTAGAATTCTTAGAGTTATCATCTCAGTTTTTCGTTACGATTTTCTACTGTGCTTTTTCGTCTACCGTGTTCAAGGTCACACAACGTTTGTAAGTGTCTTTGCCTAGTTTCTTTTTTATTTTGAAATATATGAAATGAATCATTTTTTGAACTGCGGATAAAGATAAGCTTATGAAAGTGAACATGTTGACCGGTCAAACCAGAATTTTTTCAGTTTCTTATTTGTTGTTCATTTAACTGCGAGGATCATGTTCCCTTTCATATCTATATCTTCTTCCGCAGTTCAAAATATGATTCATTTCAAATATTCCACTTCATGTCATTTCCATCACCCGATATATTACGAACTCACAATGGCCTGCTCTCCAGTTGGCTTGATTTAATACATGGAGCTAGCATTGCGTCCGGTCATTGCAAAAGCCAGGAGCAAGGTTTTTAGTCGTACGCTTTCCTTAAGGTCACAAATTTTAACTATTTGTCTACCATAGGTGCAATAGCTTGGTCTCCAAACTGCATGCTGCAGCGACGACGCAACGCACCGGTTCATCCGGAAACTCATGGCCTTCCCTTTCCTGCCTCACCACGAGAACAGACCGATGTTTGTGCCCCCAGCGTTCAGGCAGAGCCCCTCCGCAATCTTACTAACTACATCCAGGAGCAGTGGATTGAGGGCACCATCTTCACCCCAAAAGATTGGAGTGTCTTCAAGCAACCCACAGTCCAGACCAACAACGATATAGTCAGGGGTGGCACAACGCTCTGAACCGCCAAGCCGGTGGCCAATGCAGATTACAGTTTTACCTCTGTAATCGAACTTCTTTATCGAGAAGCCCGCTTAACTTCAATAACAATCAAGCTTGTCTCAGACAAGAAGTTAAAGAGAATACAAAGAAGGAAGTACAGGCAACTCCAACAGAAACTACTGATGTGGCGCCTGGCATGGCGCCACAAGACAGGCAACAAGAATGCGTCACAATTACTCCGCTGCTGTTCCCTCCTGAATGGACCCGCTCGTAGCCAGTAAGAAATAGATAACTTTGATATTTTTAACAGAAAAAAACGTCAGAAGTTAGAATTAGGAACTTACGATCTCAAGATTGTCAAGTATGAAAGTAAGGCTAAGTTTTCTTAGGTTGTCTTTACTTTAGGTTAAGTTACACATTAATTTAGGGCGGTTAAGTTAAGGTAGAACAGGGCTGGAATTTCAAACTTATGATCGCCAAATAGATAAGCATAAGTAGGTTTACATCCATAAATTGCTATTGAATTATTTTGTCAAGGGGCGGGTGTCACTAGGACAACCCACACGTCCCCTAATGAAATAAGTGTATTAGAATTAACACAGAGCGCAGAGGATATTGTAGTTAAATTTTATGATCGCTGACGGTTTGATTTTCGATTTTACAGTAAACACAGACGATTCGTACGATCGGCTCGGTAAAATTTTCGCTTCGCTTACCCTCACAAAGAACTCCTCTGCGCCCTGTGGAATTAAACGCGAATGATCTGTTGTTTAAGGGGCGGATGTCACTCAGATAACCTCAACGTCCCAGAATGTAATAGCACAGGTAGGCCAAGCTCCTAATATGAGCATCGGCATTGTTGCGTAAAATTCAAAATATAAGGATTTGTAAGGCAAAAAACCTATCGTTTCTCTAACCTAAGAAAATGAAAGGATTTCAATAAAAAACAGCTTACCTTACTTAAAATGTGTGTTACGTCTCTCCTGTGTGGTCCACGGGCCGATTTATGGCCGTTTTATGGGTTTTTATGTAAACGGTTTTCTCTAAACCTTTTTTAGACAGGGGCACCCAAAGTCAATTTTCGGAAAATATCTGTGCGGAAGACGATTAGAGATCTAGAATTTTCGGAACATTTGTTGTAAAATTTTTTGCTTGCCTGCCTCTCCTAGGATTTTCGAACATCCAAACAATGGTATAATTGCCCATTTTCTACGGATTTTTGCCCTAAAAAGGTCACCTAGAACTTTCGGGAGCCTTTTTTCTGGCTGAAATTTTCCCTCTCTCCCTCTCGCTCCGTAGGGCGGGTAGGAGTGAACACTGGGAACGAGGTTGGGCAGTTCGTTGTGGTTGTCGAAGTCGAAGGTGGCACTCCAAGCACTCCAGTAAATACCGTGGATGAGGCCTCTTCTTGCGTAAAATGTAAGTTCTTTTTCTTTTTTTTATTTTTCTAGAGAAACACTTCTTTTCCGTCGCCAATGCTTGTTTCGTGCAACATGCATTTCCTTGCAACACGAAAGAATATTGCCTTCCTTTACTCGTGCATACCACTCGCCACGTTTCTGGAGGAACCTTTCATTCCAACGAATAACTCTTATAGGTACATGTTTTTTGCCCTCGTTGGTTGATGATTTCCCTGTTAATTGTTATACCAGGTCTGGAGGGATCAAAATATTGACCACTACTCAGTCCACCTTCTCGTTAGAGCATGTTGAGTTGGTCGACACCGCATTGCATTGAGTACAGTATGTGGTCCTTGGTCCGCGACTGAAAATTATTTTGTTGAATATTTTACCGGAGTCAAAACGGAACGAGCTGAAATACTCTCTGAACCTAGCTTTTATGTTCTTCTCGATAGTCGTGAAGTGGCAAGTTCCAAACTTAAGTATTTTGCTTGTAATTCGAAAAAAGGTGACCGTGCTCGATGGTCCTTGGTCCGCGACTCGTGAAAGTACGTGAGAATGCGATAGTTACCTACAAAAACGTATTCATCGCAATATCTCATGTATTAGTATTTGTTTATTTTTGATACAATCATGCTATAAATTAATTCTCAGCGCGGTTAAAAAAATTACTAAAAACTCTGTATGTGTTCGAGATATTAAGAAAACAGTTCTTGTAAACATGTGTAAGGAATATTTTTAACACATTCCTTTTATCGATGAAAAGGTGTCATTTATTTTGTGAAATGTAATTACACCAAAGACACGGGTCGTGGACCAAGGATCACTAAGCGAAATTTGCTGATATCTCTTAAGAGTCTATAAAACAAAAAAATTCAGCAAACTTGCTTCCAACGGAAGAAAACGTTTTATCTTAAAACCTGTCCCGCAAAAAGGCACGCCTTCCCGTTACGTTTTTTTTATTCACAAGCCAAGTAAACATGACCATGTAATTTACGGTGCCACAAAAGTACAAACTTCAAGAAAGACAAATTAACCTACCTTTCAACAAACTTGATACCAACAGCAGGAGAGCTGAAACGTCACCATTTGAAAGAAGACTTATCTATAAATCATTGGATGCATTCATTTTTTCTGTATTTTTTTCTGGATGAAATATTTCATCATGTTTGGAAAAGTCATGGACCAAGGACCTCGTGGACCAAGGGCCATGTAAAGTGCTGAATAGAGTACCGCGCCAAGAAGAGTACAACGCATAAATTATGACAAATTATGAAACACCTGAATTGATGCGATGACAACAGAATTACAAAGCTCTGACCTAGGAATCCAATTAAATTAGTCTCAAACGGGTTTAAAGCTTTTTAAAGGGACTTTAAATTCTCGACAATTACTGTGTAAACAAAAACTCTTTTAAGCCAAACGATTAAGTTTTATTTATTCATCTACCTGTTCGAGTAAAATAAAGTTCCCGTTTAACATTCCGAAATACTATTATTTGGTCATAGAACATTATTTTGAGATAGCATGTTCTTGTGTGTCTGGAATATAAAATGACATTCAACCTCACTAAATGTTAGGAACTTTAAAATCATCTGTCAAACATTCTCTTTACGTCACCGCGCTGAATATGTAGTACTAAACAGGCGAAGCAAAATAAGTACAGATTTCAGGTTATGTAAAATTTTAATGCAAATTTATTTGGAACTTCATATGACTTAAAAAACGCGAAATGTCGGTACACAGGACAGGGAAAAATGACTCATTTAAAAGGCCAGTCACGCAATCATTCAACCCTCAATCAGTGACCCGGCAGAATTTCATCTCGCCTGTTAAATGAATGGGTACAAAATTCTGCACCTGATCTCAGTACTCTTTAGCTAATGAAGTTTTCTTCTATGTGTTCTGAAGGTAAATAATAACAAACTCAAAGCTAAAAAGGGGAAATCCAAAAGTGCATGCATCAAAGCAGAAAATTGTAAGATTTAAGAATGTATATGGACTTCTGGAGAATGAGTAAGGAACATCCTAAGACAACAGGTGAAAAAGTTACAACTTTTGTTACATTTGTTATAGAAAACAGGAGTTTCTGAAATTTATGAGAATAGGCCTTTTACAAAACAGGTTGCTATTTGATACAGAAATAATGTTTATAACAGGCCTACTAGGATAAAATATTTGTCGCAATTCACGCGCGTGCTGAATCGAGTACAAGATAGAGATTGATCAAACTTGATGATTTTCAGTCTCGAAACCTAAAAAAATGAGCGATGTATGTCCGATTTTTGCTGCATGCCGTGTAGAGTTCGAAACAGAGAATGACCAAAATTGACTTTTTTCACTTTGTAAACGAAAAAATGTACGAAAGTCACATTTCTGCTGTGTGCCGAATAGCGTATGAGTTAAAGAATGATCAAAGTTGACTATTTTCACTCTTAAAACCTGAAACTGAAAGATGATGTATGTCACATTTTTGTTGGGTGCCGAATAG